CTACACACAAATCAAATTCACTAAACATAAAGTCATATTTTATAAATCAATCCATCAATAAAAGTCAATAATTAAATTATCAAATTATAGTTATTTTTATTTACATAATTTAATTTCCCACTTTATATTATAGTTTATTTTGGAATTTGTTTTATTTGTTGATACATCTCATGATAATTACATCTGTCGTCTGGTATTCATTAAATGTGATGAAGATTTGAATAATTGATAATAATATAAACAATTATTATGGATATTATAGATATAATATTGTAATAACTCATAATATGAGTCTCATATCCATTATAACTTACCTTCAGTGAATTTTTAATCACACTTCAGTACAAAATTATGGTCTAGTAAATAATGTTATATCTGTGGGAAAATTATATTTAAAAACACTGATTGTTTTCAATATAACAGTAAATGATAAAATAATTAAACTGAATCCTACATGTAAAATATTTTAAAAAAATTATCATAATATTTTATTTTAATAGTTTAAATTATTTGACCGCAAAATCAATAAACAAAAACCAAAATTTTTCAAAATGTTTTAAAGATTTAAGTTTTTATTAAAATAATATTTTTAAAAATCACAATTTTGATGTGATTTTAAAATGTTATTTATGTTATATATTTTTAAGTTGTATAACAAATTCAGTTTCTATTGACATAATTTTATTTATAAAATCGATCCAAACATTGAATAATTTATTTCTAACTGTAAATCGATTGTAAATAAATTGTATAAAAGAAATAAATTGAGAAAATTGTAAATAATGTCGACTAAAAAGATAAAAAGTCTGAGACTAGAAGTCATTTAACAATTTATATAGATTTTATTGGCAATTATTTGTTGAACTCAACTAATGAATTATGAACTAATGAACTCAACGGCTGTATCTCCCAAACGAAATGAGCTAGATCACATCTGTAAACTGTAAAACAATTTCATAAAAAGGTATCAAGCTGATTATAAAGTTGTTTTCAATTCATTTTGCTCAATCAGTATCTCATTTTGTTTGGGAGATACAGCGCTTTCCAATTAGTCAATACTTGTTGACGGGTTAGATATGAATAAAAACGATGCATTCATTTAATAATAAGAGAATTTGCACTCAAAATGTGACAAATGTTAACAAAACCATCTCTTACTACACGACATAAGGAAAGCAAAGAGAGAAATATAGCTCGAGTTATAACATAGAGATGTAATAAATGAGAAAATGTAAAAATCAGCTTAACTTACAATTTCTGCTTTTAAGTCATAGTAGAGATGAAGAGATTTGTGTAGAGCTTAAGAGACTTTGATGTAAAGTAAATGAATTGTCAATTTATGAGCGCATCAACAATAAAACAACTAGCCACTTTTTCAATCTATCCCAATATCTGTATATTTTGTACAATATTCCAATCAATTACTAACTGTATTAAAGTTTAAGATTTATTTTATTCCAATAAGTTATTGGCAATAACAAATTGATTATTTTGTCATATACTAGAATTAATGTTATCCATTAATTGAAAATTCCCATGTTGCCAGGAGGGGAATTATAGGGAAAGTACAAAAAATACAAAAGTGTGGGAACGGGAATTTATTTTGGGAAAATATTTAAAAATAATTATGATTATTTTTAGTATTAATTATGGATAAATTGTTTAAAAACTATAAACAATCGTAAAGATGATTTTATTAAACATAGCAGTCAATGACTTTTATAAAGTTTATGAGTTTTTGTAACAAAGATTTGCTTACCATTCATACATCGTTACGTCATTAGTTGAGGGCAACTTTTAAATTTTGATTAACAAATACAGTACAACCTCTCTATAGGAAACAGGCAGATGCACGGCCAACTGTTTCTCATAGAGAGGGTTCCTCCAAGGGAGGTTTTGTTATAGGTATAGAAAATCCAAAATATATTTCAAATCCGTTCCTTAAAAGGAGGTGTTCCCCAAGAGAAGTTGTCCTAAAAGAGATTGCACTGTAATTTGCAAAATAATTTAAATAAAATTAATTCATAAAATTAAACAGAATCTTCTTCTGTATTATGTTTAAACATGTTATGGTTATGTATCATATTACAATTATCATATTATGTATAATATTACAATTATAAATAGAATAAAAGTATTTCTATATTAAGTCTATGAGATTTTACCTTTTCTATGTTAATACTATGGGTAATATTAAGTCTATGGAAGTAATGCTTTTTCTATGTACATTATAAAGACATTATTAGAGTAGAGATTATTCAAGAATTCCCGAATAAAATTAGTTAATAGAATGTTTGGGAATAACATCCAGTTGGTTTTGGAGGTTCTAATGGAATAAAAATATATCATTTTTATTTTCCCTAATACTCCCAATTTTGGCATATTTTGAGAATATTTCCTATTCTCTAGACATTATAAAGAAATCTGTTTATTTGAATAGAACTTTGAGTAAATGCATTCAAAAATACTAATAATTTTCAAAATTACAATAATGAATGTTTTATAATAATAACATTTATTAATTGAAAATGTTTGATTCACCTCAAGAATTGAAATTAATTTATGGCTTTGCTTTAAAAAACTTGTTATAAATATTATCCAAAACTCATAAGGATTACAAAATGTTGAATAATATCCAGTATTTAATAAGCCGTCAGTTTATTTGTAATGTTAATGAAGTCTTAAAATGCTTAAAACCTGTCATTTCTTTTGATATGTCTTTTAATTAGTCGTGAATTTTATTATTCATTAGACATGAAGTTTGTTCGCAATTATGAATACATTTATTCTATGTTTTCAATAAACTCAACACAATTTACTTAATTATTAGTATACTTTACAGCACTATACTGTACTGTATAGTTAAGGCAACCAGTAAAGTGCTGACAAGGTGCATTGTATTAATACAATAGTTTCACTCAAATCTAAAGTTGCAATAATAAGTATTGCAACTATTTTATGAGTTTAACATTAATCGAATAGATGATCTTTTGTAAGTCTTTTATTATTAATAATTCTGAATTTTATTATGTTCAATAATCATTTGTAATTGATATAAAGGCGGCGGGAATTTGACTATCTTCTGGTCACCTGATCAATTTATTTATGAACCCATATTAATCTTCATATACAGTATTAAAAAATGATATTCATTTTAGAAAATAAAAATATCGCTTAAAATAGATCTTTATACCAATTGAAAATGATTATTGAACATAATAAAATTAAAACTGATTTTGCATTTTTGTCAGACATAAAGTTTGATATACAGTAGTTGGTTTCATTAACTATTCGAATACAAACATACATTATTATATTCATGTGAACTTATCATTTACATGAACCAAACCAAAATCCCCCCTCCCACCGTTGACATAATGTTAAAAAGTATCAACTGTGTGAACAAATCATTTGTGTGGACCAAATGATGAGATTTTGTCACTTCACACAACTGATATAATACTGTATTTAATATTATACAATATATTGAAATAAACTATTTGAGATATATTGTATGATTTTGTAAATTAAAATATTTTATTCCCTCTGAATAGCGTTGCAAAAACAGTTTCGGAGGTCCGACTCTTCAGATGAGAGATCGCCAGAATTGTGGTGAACTCACGGCTTTGCAAACCTTGTTTAATGAATATCAATTAATTTCATGTGAAATATGTGAAAATTGTATGATATTGTTAAGAATTTTACAAAAACAATTGATGCAAAAATAATATTTCTGGTAAAAATTTTAACTATTAATTTTTTCCACATCAAGAATATTTATTAACAAAAAATATTATTGTTAGTTTAAATAGACAAAAGTCAAAAAAGCAACATTTTTACAGAAGGTATTTATAAGTAAATCTGAATATTTCTGTTGAATATTAACAGAAAAACTATCGAGATCATGGCATATTTGCTATGACCTATCATAATTTGTGTAAAATAAATATTTTCAATGTTTTAAAAGCATAAACCGAAAATTTTCGTAATTTTATTACCACATATAATTACATATTTTTGATTATTGCCACATATTATTTTTAACTTATTACAGTTACTACCTATTATATTGCCAGTCCAACGACTCAAACATCAAGGCTTTAATTGATAATTAAATTGAAGTATAATATGCATTGCAAACTAAACATAACTAAGCATGTATGAAACAAACATTGATAAATTGTGCTTAAAGTGTTGCACCATGGTCATATAATAGTGATTTAAGGGTGATATAGAGTAGATGATGCTGTGATGCTGTGGATGGTTTGGATGGTATGATTGATAGGTTAGTGACAATTGCTGTGAGAGACCAGCAGAGGGTGTGAGCGAAGTGGGCTTGAAGTGGGACTGAGGGATGTGGTTATGAGCTGTGCTGGCATTGGTTGCATTGCTTGGCATTGGCTGTTGGGCTGCTGTATGACTGGTATATCATATATGCTGTTGAATGAGTGCTGGAAGTGCTGTTGGAAGTGCTGTTGGAAGTGCTGTTGGAAGTGCTGGAACTGGTTCTCTGTGCCAAACCTATGCTCACACACTCATACACTCACACATTGTCTCTGTCTGTCTCTCAACTGTCAGACTCTCAGCATTCACTCAAACACTATTCATGTGAACATTATATGCATTTGTGTTGAATCGCTGCCGAGTTTAGTGTTGTGTTGATTATTGAAAACTATTCAAACAACTCAAACACACATTCAATTCAAACTCTTTTATTACTTACCATTTGTTATAACTATTTGTTGTGTTTTTATGTAATTCAGTGTTTAGTTCAACAAAAGTGAACAAAATTGAGTTTTAGCCACAATTAGTGTATTAGTAAATGACTGTTGGATTGGATTGTGGGCTAAATGCGGGCAAATGTTTGGTTGATGTTTGCTATTTAGGTGTTTCTCGTGAATAGTGTATAGCAATGACAGAAATGCTGTTTCCGGGGGAACGGCTGTTAAATGAGGTGATGAGTGAACATCCGGGAGAACTGATGCGAACCGGGAGTCCGAACATCATATGTTCGGCACTACCGACGCATTGGAGATCCAATAAGACATTACCCGTGGCTTTCAAAGTGGTTGCGTTGGGAGAAGTGAACGACGGAACTCTCGTCACCATTAAAGCCGGTAATGACGAGAACTGGTGCGGAGAACTCAGAAATGCTTCGGCCATCATGAAGAACCAGGTGGCCAAGTTCAATGACCTCAGATTTGTCGGCAGGTCCGGACGAGGTCAGTACACTTACCATCATCTATGATCACAGCACAGCACCGCACAACCTAAACCTATATCTAACCATTCATTTGATCCCAATTCAGGCAAAAGTTTTTCATTGACAATAACCGTCAGTACAAACCCACCACAGGTTGGCGTTTATGGCAAAGCAATTAAGGTTACAGTGGATGGACCGCGAGAACCAAGAAGTAAGACCTGTAAGCAAAACATTGATTTAGTTTTTCATTGACAATAACCGTCAGTACAAACCCACCACAGGTTGGCGTTTATGGCAAAGCAATTAAGGTTACAGTGGATGGACCGCGAGAACCAAGAAGTAAGACCTGTAAGCAAAACATTGATTACACTCTTCTCTCTTATATTTGTGTTTTTGTGTTGCTTTCAAATAAACGCTTCAAATAAACGCTTCCACAACTCATTTGATTACTCTTCGACTCCACTCTCATTGCGGTTGCATTTGCTTTGCTTTGTGTTCACTATTTTTAAAAGTCATAACAAATTATTATGAATGCGAGAGAGAGAGAGAGAGAGACTATAATAATATATAATGACTGAATTGCATAATCCCTCATTCGTGATATGAATATACATTAAATCTACAATATTTTTGTTGACTAATAAATTACACGAAAAATAATTTTTATAATTATAATTAATAAATATAAATATATTTTATAAATTTATAATTTACTATTATTTAGTTACAGAAACTTATACAGTATTACTCCGATTGTAATACAAGAGTGATACAAGATTTTGATAAGAAATTGTGATCCAGTATTTGTGTCGACAGTAATAGTTCTAATTGTTTTTCAAAGTATACACAATAGGTGTAAAAATAATAGTTATAATTTATAACTTATAAACAATAGTTTATAACAATATTTGTTATAATTTTGTCATCTACCTTTTAATGTGTTTGTTATAATGTCTAATTAATACTAACATTAATGGATTAACTAAATCGACTTTTAGGAATTTTAATAAGTAACAAACGTTAACAGTAATACTAATTGTAATGTTATTGATTGTTAATTAAATATAATCTTAATTAATAAAATTTAAATATGATTTGACAAATAATTACAACGAATTAAATAACAAGGTAAATGCATTTATTTTAGCAATGATGACGCCTTGTTGGCCATTTCCCGGACCACAACAACAATTACGTGCGTTTGCCTCACGCAAACCAGTGGTGTTGGGCGCCGGTAAGTACCTACACTCCCCGACACGTAACGGCGGTAACGGCACGCGACGGCTCACCGCTAACCGGCGATTTTGTGTTCGTCTTGTCACCCGTGATGTGCGCCCCGCAGCCGTGGCCGCAGAATTACCACATCGACGCTTCCCAACACATCACTCACAAGGTTTGCTCAGTTTATTAACTCGTTTCTTGTTTTCACAATTGTTTAATATTTTTAACTAATTTTAATGTCATATTCTAAATTTAATCGCAACCATTCACTCATTATACTGAATATTTAGATTATTTAGATAGATTCATGATAAATGAGAGATAATTTATATGATATAAATATAGTATTAAAAAATGTGATGTTTTAATTCAAATAGTTATTAACGCGTAAATAGAAAAAATGTGATCAAAGGAAAGAAATGTTTTATATTTATATTTAAAGTCAAAATGAGTGAAATGTTTGCTAATTAAAGTATATGGCGAACAGGCCTTAAGGTAAAAGTGTTGCAAAAGTGTGTGTATTAGACGTGAAATGCAAACTCGTTATCATAGTTAAGAGGTTCACAAAAAGCCGAATCTCTGTTCACTGCTTATCCTCTGCGACAAGAGTTTGTGTTTTTGTCTGTTTTGTCAATAATTCAAATATATTTGGCGAACAAAAAATGGAAAAACAAAACAGTCTTTAGATCTTCACAGTCTTCACAGCCGTTAGTCTTCTTAAAGAGGTTTTTTGTATGAAATCAATATTTCTATATATAATACTCTATAAGAGGAGATATTTTGTGTATTTTTCAAACTTTATATAATAAGAGTAATAAAAAATAGTTGAAAATATGATGGTTAAGCTGTGATGCGATTGCCAGACACACAATACATGCAATCAGAAATGTGTTGGTGTTGTGTTGGTGTTGGTTATGATTGCCAGTCATTGGCAGCCATTGTCAGTCATGCTTATCATTATCGGTGGTAATAGTGGTGTTGAGGGAAGAACCAGAAGTAGTGTTCCATCAAATGCTTCACCAAACATACATCAACTCAATTCATACTAAACTCACAAATACTTTTGTTTCACTTTTTACACATTTTATTCTTTTACTTCAATTCAATTCTCAATTCTTGACTAATTCTTAAACAACTCATACAATGAAATGTGATGTCAATGAATCGCTTTCTTCATATTTTCTCTTTCTCTTACTTCTTATATAATCTCTGTTTATCTCTATTTCATTAACAATTGCGGAGAACTATCAATACGAACACAATAGTACATAATTTGTGATCAATTACAAGCATTACAATAAATAGTAATCTACACATACAGTATATCATACAGTACATCATACAGTACATTGTATGTTTGGAATCTAAATGTTTAGTTGTTTAATATAGCAAATGTTTATACAATATTAGATTTTATTTGTATTCTTAAAATTAATATACAGAAAAATTAAACAAATTTATAAATTTTAATTATTAAATAACAGTCAAAGAAGTCGAAGAAGATTTTTTAAAAAGTTTTATTTATTAACTAAACTATTTTGTAAGTAATGAGAAGATAACTCTCACTAAAATAGATGAAACCAATTTAATATTGATCGTCGATATAATTTGCAAATAGCACATACGTTATCATAATTATTATTAATACATGTCTTATATAATAACTAATATAAAAATATAATATAACTTCAACTCATATTAATAAAAATGCATATGAATTTCAGGTCTAATAGGTATGTAAGGAAATCAATTATATTACAAAATGTGCTCGAAATTTGCCCCAACAATACAATTAGGTTTTAAGTGTATTGAATAGTCAATAGAGTGGATGCGAACAAAAGGTTTACTTATAATGAGTTTCTCTCTTATAGAGAGACAACATTTTGACCATTAATTGCGGAAAAGCATATATACTCTGCACTTATAGCAGTTGTAGTATTACTGGTATATTAGGTAATGGCATCACCGCTATTACCACAGAGTCACCAATTTTGGTATCTCTACTAATGAACCAATGCTTATAGCCTTTGGTAATCTCATCCACTCTTTCATTTCTTTATCTGTCGTTCACTTCTTTCTTCTTTTCCTTTTTTCGCTTCAAATAATATTTGATTCCCATTTCAAATAATCACTAAATAAATGCTATCTTTATCTAACCATTAGATTAAACAATTCTTAAATGTATTTTTTGTTCAATTTATAGATAAATCCAAATAACTACCTAAGATATAGACAAATATAAATATGAAAACAACACAATCACTGCTTATTCTATAGTTTATTAAATAGAAATTATAAATCGTTTGTAAAATATTGTACAATAATGTATTGCAGACAACAATGCTTTCCATTTGAGTGGTGCTGGAGATTGGAGTCCGTATTACAGCACATATTTGGCCAGCGCTGCCACGAGTGCACTGACGGCCAGCTCTGGATTCCCGTCACCGCCGGTGTCTTATCCTATGGGAGACACATCTCTGGTCTCTGTGTCGACAGGAAATAACAACCCAATGGATACGTGTCCTCCCATTAATGCAGGTATGAATGAGGATTACTATACAGTACTATACAGTAATATACAGTATTATACAGTACTTTACACTACTCTACTCTGTATATTCTATGATTAAGAACTGATGCTTTGATTTGATAGTATAATTAGTAATAAGTTGTTTGTTAACAAAATGGTTAATTTGTGAATAATGAATGAACAGATCGTACGAATACAAACTCTATACAAACTTTTGGCACTCAATTGAACATCACTTCGAGTCCTACTGAAAGTATGTGTTCGACGTCTGGGACGGCGTTATCATTGAAATCGACGGTCGATTCGATGCGTTTGAGTCAAGAGCTGGCACTTTGTGATCGTCTGAGTGAACTAAGACAGGGACTCACATGTGGTCAGACTGTGACCACAAACACGAGTTCGGCGTTCAATAGTACGCCAACCGTTGCCAACAGTACGGNATGCGTTTGAGTCAAGAGCTGGCACTTTGTGATCGTCTGAGTGAACTAAGACAGGGACTCACATGTGGTCAGACTGTGACCACAAACACGAGTTCGGCGTTCAATAGTACGCCAACCGTTGCCAACAGTACGGCAGTGGCGGCCGTCGCCTCACTATTGCCACAATCAGTGAGTCATTCATACACTGCGGCCGCTTTGCTGTCATCGCACGCCTATTACGCCAACTCCACGTCCAGCACATCATATCTGAACGGGCCGTCAGTAATGCCTCCGTCACTGCTTTACCCCCAGTTATATCAAAGTGCAGGACAACCATCCGCTCAGTTGTTGGCCACNACGCCAACTCCACGTCCAGCACATCATATCTGAACGGGCCGTCAGTAATGCCTCCGTCACTGCTTTACCCCCAGTTATATCAAAGTGCAGGACAACCATCCGCTCAGTTGTTGGCCACTAGAGTCAACACAAGTGTAGCTCAAACCACACCAAATGATACCAATTCTGACAGCAATGATGACTGCATTATCACTACAGATACCGAACGTAACTACAGTAATAGAGATACTTTTTTTGGGAAAATATTTCAACACCAAAGCGAATAAAAATTAATGTTACCATATTTATATTTAAAAGCAATTATTATCTCGATAACCTAACTTCAAAAATTACAATTTAATGGTTACATAATTATATTCATTTATGCATTTACAAATTCTCTATATTAAATCATGTTACATATTTGGTTATTTTACAATTGTTTATGATATCCGTATTTTAATATGTTATACTTCATATTTTGATTATAGTAAATTAGTAGTACAGTACTGTATTATCATTTTCAGTATTCTTTATATTATTTTTAATAAACTGATATTTATCGTGATATTAGATTAAACGATAAATACATAGCATCAGTATCACCCCGTGTAGATAGAATTATGAAATCGGTCTTATTATTTAGGCTTACATTCTTAGGCATCAGAATCCGAGTTTCTTCAAAATTGTGTGATTACTTTTGATACAGGAATTTTTCAAAGTATATTTTGGATGGAATTTGTTTAAAAATCTAAATATTATTATTTTTAATAAACTGATATTTATCGTGATATTAGATTAAACGATAAATACATAGCATCAGTATCACCCCGTGTAGATAGAATTATGAAATCGGTCTTATTATTTAGGCTTACATTCTTAGGCATCAGAATCCGAGTTTCATCAAAATTGTATAATTATTGTTAACACAGGAATTTTTTGAATGAAGTCAAGCAAAATAATGTACTCCTATGGGCGGGTTGTAATGTACCCGTTTTTGTATTTACCGACGGTTGAAATCGTAGTTACCAGGCTCAAACAATAGTAGACATAATACAAAATGGTTACTCTTGTGTTACTACATCATGAATGGAATATAACAATAGCCTATTCTATGGCCAACTCTGACCGGTACCCAAACTGTGGTCACGTAAATATCGGTAATCGGTCCGATTGGCCGCTCAGTTCGGAGTCTTTCCATTTGATTCTCATTATAAATGATTTCATCATAACTTCACTAAACTATTGTCGGATAATTACTAATGAATCCCAATAAATAAAGAAACACTTCAATCATATTATGGTAACAATATTTTCACTTTAAAAATAGAAAAAATTTCCGTCTAATTATTTTATTTAGATTTTTAAACAAATTCCATCCAAAATATACTTTGAAAAATTCCTGTATCAAAAGTAATCACACAATTTTGAAGAAACTCGGATTTTGGTGCCTAAGAATGTAAGCCTAAATAATAAGACCAATTCCAGGATTCTAGCTACACAGCAACTTGGCTAATATAATACTATATCATTAACACTAATATTTATCATTATTTCTCTTTACATTTTATATTTATTTCCATTACTAAAACTTCCTTTAATTTCAATTCTCTTTCAAATATTTCTGATTAACTTAATTTGACAAAATAGTTCCAATAGTTACCAACGCCTTAAATAGTTAATAATTATATGTTGTTAACACAATTATTGTTAAAATAAACTTTTGGTAAACTGACCCCCAAATTGGCCAATATATTATAGGTTCACACCTGAGTCTGAGGGTAATATTATTAACCGCTAATAATAGTTGCTATAATTAAATGCAATTCCCTGATCATAATGTATAATTTATCATTGATATAACCGTAAATATGTTATTTTTAATAAAGTTATTGTTAACTGAAAAGAATTAAATTTCACTAACGCTAGCCATTAGTGTAATTCATTTATTATATTCTAGAATAAACAATACAATACACAATACAATACACAATACAATACACAATACAATACACAATAACAATAATAATAAATCCATAATTTCTGAATAAAATACAATAAATAATTACTATTAATATAAATAAAGGTAATAATAATAAGACTTGTTTAAATGTTCAAATGTGTAAATTGTGACAAATGATGAAAATAATAGCAGAATTAGTGGTCATTTGCAACAATGGCTACAATGTCTGTCCTCTAGCGGTCGTCGGCTCCGAACAGACCCTTAGCTCTACGAAGAATGGAATCCTTATTGGGATCGTAGGGATGGTCTTTGGAGGGGATCTCCAGAATGGAGGGCACGGGAGCCGTATGCGCGNTCTCCCATAGGATAAGACACCGGCGGTGACGGGAATCCAGAGCTGGCCGTCAGTGCACTCGTGGCAGCGCTGGCCAAATATGTGCTGTAATACGGACTCCAATCTCCAGCACCACTCAAATGGAAAGCATTGTTGTCTGCAATACATTAATCTCTTTTCAATCAAGTTTTTTGTGTAATAAAGTTTTAAAACATTACATTAAAACGTTAATACAATTATAAGTTAATTTTACTCAATCTGAGTTAGCGTTGCCAGAAAATATTTTGGATATCCTGTATAATTGTGAAAATTTTACCACAAATTCCTGTATTTTCCTGTATTTAATTGTTTCTCAATTAAAACTTTAAATTCATACAATTTCAAAAAATTATACTTTTGCAAAAATTCTAGAGCTTATAATTGTCTTTATAATTTAATTAATTAAGTATAAATTTATTTTATTTCTAGCATTAGCTCAGATTGTGGATGAACAATGGGTGTACACCGTGTACAGGACTAATATTATTAACAAATTAGGATATTTTTATTGTTTATTTGCTAAAATATTTATTCCTGTATTTTTCAATATACAGTAATGACACCTTCCTGTACTCTGCAATATTCCTTAATTCTTGTATAATACAGATCATTTCTGTATATCTGGCAACGCTAATCTCAGTCGATCTCAACCAATTTCTTATCAATCATTAATGTTAGACATTTTTAGAAAGATTTTTATTTTCCCAATATATTCCTTACTAAAATATGAGAAGTTCCCGAAAGATAAAAATTTCGAGGGAACTAATGTATTCACAAATACTAATTTAAGTTTTGTTCTAAAAATAATTGAAGTATTAATTTTAATTAAATTAATTAAATGGACATAACAAAATCTTTTGACATAATATGTTTAATGTTAGACACTTCCTTCACCTGACGACTATATTCCAGGAATAAATTTTTTGAAAGAAAGATATTTTATCTTCTTGAAAACAGGGAAAATAAGAAAAATGTGTTCGAAAGACATTTGCTCGAAATTTTTTTATTTAATTTGCTTTAAATACATTAAATTAGTAAATATCACAAATAATACTATTAAATAAGAGTATGTGAGTTAGTTTAGGTAAGTTTGGTTACGTTAGGATAGATTTAACAAGTTAATTTTATAATTAAAGTTAATTTTTTCGAGCAAATGTCATAGACCCGTATATAACATATCTCATACAACGAACCCGTTGTCAAATAATGAATCAATGGATAAATCAGTAAAGAAATCAGTGATCAAAATGTGGACAAAAAATATGAACCCATTTGTGACATAGATTGAGATCTATTTGGTCTAACAGACACAGAATCGGATGATAAAGAATCTCAAGTTATCATCGATTATGCAGATACTAACGATCAGATACGCGAACAATTTGATCTACTTTAAATTATTACTTATTGTATCATTTATTCAATTGTTATCTTTCTGATTGTGATAATACTTTAATTAATAAACAAATTCTGGTGCAATTATATGTGATCTTTAAACAAGTGCTGCAAATAGGGATGAAAATTTCAGTGAAATTTTCATATGAACATTTCATTTAGGCCAAATTTTCATAAAAATGTGAAATCTTCATATGCGTTTTAACTAGATACTTTTAATGTAATAAAATATATAAATATCAAACGAATTAAAATGTATTCCATTTAAAATAATTACGAAAATCATTTTAGTTCTTTAAATATTTCACATTTATTAAAGATTCTTTCAATTCTCTTATATGTTCTGTGAATATTAGAAAAGAGGATGGGGAAGACTCTATGTTAATTTGGCTAAAAAAATCATTTTTATTTAACCCTACGGAAAAAAGTTGTCTAAATTGTATCTTGGCCGATTTTTAGCTAAAAGTTAATTCAATGCGATATTCTTTATTATACTAAACATATTTTAAATTAGAATGCAAATAATACACGCCTAATGACAATCTGGCCACGAATTCGGCCATAGTTGCCACTATTTTCAGTAAATATCAACTTATTCAAAATTAACATATGATATATGAAATCAATGT